TTAGCGATTGTTTAGTGATTTGTTTTATTAATTATCTCGATAAAAGTTTCCGGAACTAATTTGTCTATGACCCCCCCGAAATCAAGCACAAATGGTAACCGTTTACAAACATGTAATTATTATGTTTTTTAATAATAGAATGTCCAAGTAACCTGAGTAGGCCCTTTAAAACATCTAAATGAACTTGCAGAAACACCAATCAGTCCATAAACACCACAAAAACCAGTATACACGAGTTTTAATTCTTGATCAAATAAACTATATGGTATGAAACAAAATTGAGGAAGGACTATTTTTTTATTGAAAATTGGTTATAAAACTTTCTTAGCTGCTAGAATTATCTCATAACCTTCGAGCTATTCAACGAAATTTCCCACTTGGGCGGCTATTACTACAGTTACTGAGGTTAAACTCATAATTTTTATCGTTAAAGGAAATTTTCAAATTACAGATATTCTTCACAGAATTTTAATTAGTTAAAAGAGACATTCTGTAAAAAATAATTTCAAGTTGTGAATACAATCCATTAGTAGGCCTATGTTCTAAGTGAAGGACAAACTAATTATACTTCAATTAATTAATAACGGGGTTTAAATTTTGGCTGAAAGAATAATCTAGACCTTCAAGCCCTTTAATGAAATTTATAGCTTGAATGGCTATTACCACAGCTAGTGAGGTTGAACTCATAATTTCTATCCCCAAGGGAAAAGTTCAAAAATAATAGTTATCTTCACCGAAAGAATTTTAGTTGTAATTCAAAGAAATGTTCTAAAAGGAGTTTCAAGTAATATATTCTATCCAAACAAAGGACTTAAATTGGTGGAGGGTTTGGGATGGAGGTCTAAGCCCAACCAAAAGCTAGCCAACTTTATGTGAATTTAAATAAGAATTTTTATTGCGAGTCCCTTCTAGCATGATGATTCCACTGTTTTAACTCCTACTTGCTTTTAAACAGAGGGAATGTTATAAGTTTTAGTTTAATTTTTATAAATTTATGTTTTTAATATCAGTTTGAAGGCATAACTATGTAAGCGTATTTTAACTTAAGTATTTTTGTAATATCGTTCATTCAACATACATAGACTGTTTGTATTATTGCAAATATACGTTTTATATAAGTAAAGGTAAATTCACAAAGGAGGTAGTAGGTGATGAAAACGGTTTTAAAAGGTATGATGTTAAATGAACTGTAGTACGTTAAATGATTTAGTGAATAAATAGTAATTTGTGTAACTAGTGGTGAAAGTGGCACTTTGCTGCACACGAGAGCAATGTTAACGCACGAGCCGCAGGCAAGTGTGGAATGATCTCGAGTGCAGCAAAGGCCTTTTTCACTCGTGTTACACATTATATTTTTCCTACAGTCACTATAAAGGATATAAATAATTAGTCAATCAAACACTATACAACACGTTTTTAGGTTCAGCTGGCAACACAAATGGTGTCCTAGAGAAAGTAGTACCCGCGGTCCGTATCACTCCGCTATTTTCCTCGGCTAGAAATGTGCTCCGCGTTTTGAGAATATAGTTCCGTAATGTTTTTGTAATTTGAAGTGGTTTCCGTGCCTAAAAAAATGCTTTAAAGGTATTTTCTTGTTTATTAAGATCGTAGGAATGTTTTAAAAACGTTTAAAAGAAAAGTCCAGAAAGTTCAGAAATACCGAAACTATAAACACGAAATGACAGGTTAAATCGTAGTTATAATAGTCAATCAGCTGCTCATAGTATTATTATCTTTAAGTGTTGCCAACCTATTTCCAAGCGTACACGGATTACGTGCATAATAGAACCACGCTGTTTTGTGTTGTTTCGTTGGAATCCTGATGTGCGGCAAAGTATAAACCGTACGGCAAAGTATAAACCGTACGGCAAAGTATAAATATGCAGCAATTAGCAGCTTTCTGTACTATAAACAGTACAAGGAAGCCAACTTTGTCGGGTGACTGTAGGAAAAAGCATTTTAGGTATTAAAACATTTTACAGGTTATGATTTGGATTCACAATTTTTCACAAAGATGAATAAAGTATATACGTAGCATAGGTTAAAATATCAAATCAGTACCTTGCGGGTCGCTAACACGAGTGCTTCTAAGATACCTTAAATTACTCATTTTATATGAAGTCCATTTCTTAAAAGTTTTGACGAGATGGAATACTCATATGGTGAAGCTAGAAGCATTTACGAGAACCAAAAGAACAATATCAATTCCACAACAATCAGCCGTGGCATTTCCATTTTGCTAAGTTAAATTCGGGGTTGGCGATGTGAAAAATTAAAAAGAAACAAAAACTTTTCACTTTATTTGGATTTCTTCCTTAGCTGACATTCACGTTTTTCTATCTCTTGGAAATAACAGACAAGTGTAATTGAGTTTCGCCTTTTATCATTCCCCACAACCACAAGAGTTTTCTTTATTCACTGTGTTTGTAATTGTATATGGTTAAGAAAGGAATTATTTTTTCATTGTTTGAGAATTTTGTTATAATATCCCACTTATAACAAATAGAGGAATTATTATAGATTATTGTTATAGGAGGAATGAAATATTATTTTATTATATATTAACAGTAGTTATAATTGATTAATTGGGTTATTTACAATACTATCTACAAATGAGGGTGCTTGGTTCGAGTTGCCACAAGACTGCCCCCCCGGAAAAGTAACTAAAACTAATCTCATTTATTAAACACTCACCTATAGCTTACATTAACCTAAAAATTTATACGCTGGTGCGTTGGCGTTGAATATATAATAATTTAATCTAAAATAAAAGACGGTGTTTCTAAATGTAGTAAGCTACTTTTTAAAATACTTCAAATAATCTAGTAATTTAATACACAACACATGGACAAAAACTAAGACCATTCAGCTACTTCCTGCTTTTAAATAACAAACAACTTTAAAAATTGTAAAATATATAGAGTGTTCTAGGAAGAGGTTATTTCTTTGCAATAATACTCTACAGGCATCAAACACGGTACAAAATAAAAACGTATCTGCTGTAACGAATACAAATGTAACAAAACATCTTATAAAATAAGATTTAAAGATTATTGGATGTTAAATTAGTCTGTATTTTCTGCCGAACTTTCTGGTCCATTGTTTTCTTGACCCAAAACAACAAAAAACTATTAATTACTGTCTAGTACTAACCAAACCGGAAATAAAAAAACTATTTAGTAGTTGGGCTTAATATCTTAAAATGTAAACATATATTAACCCTGAGAGCACTCAAAAGGTGGAGACAAAAAAGGTGCTGAAAAAAATGTTGCTCAAAAGGTGGTACTGCACACTATGTGGGGGAGCGAGCTGATCTAGTGAAAAGAGCGGGGGACTTCGGTCCCTGAGGTCCTGGGTTCAAATCACGCCAAGTCACAAATGGATTTTATATAAGTGATAATGCCGCAACCCCTATGTCTAGCCTCAAGTAATATGAAAAACAATTCCGTGCTCGTGCCTAGCGTCAAGACTGCACGCTGTGTAGGCTGTAGCAAATACATTTCAATATTGGCTTCCGAGTAGTGGCCAGGTAAACCGATAACCGCTAAACCTGAGGTTGGATATCAGGGGTTCTACTGAATGAAAATGTCAGTATTTTTTATATTTTCAGGAAGAAGTGACAACAAATTCCTATCTTTAACCATTTTATGCTGTACAAGAATGTTGAAACAAATAGAAGAGAGTATTTTTTTATATTGATTTCATCAGAAAATTGTTTTAACTATGTAACCTGCACAGATTCATGCAGGCAATATAATAGGCCTACAACCAGACTACAAACACAATCTCATATAAAGTGTCTTCTCATCTGACTTGTATCACAAAGTGTCAAGTCATGCAGTTCATCTATCTTCAATACACTAACACCTTCTGTCACGCTCTTGCTGACATTGAGGTATTCGTGTGTTTGAGACACTATCGGCCCCCAACTGTTCGGTTGCCCAAACTATCAATCGAGTTGACGCAACTTCTACCATCTATCAGATATTGCAGCAGATATGTCATAAGCAGTGAATAGATCATTTAGTAATCACATTTAAATACTTTTTTATGTTTGCTTTAAGCTTTTAAGTATTTTTTATTCAGAAATTATATTTAGAATGTTTAGAATAAACAAATTAGGTATATATTTTTTTCTGGCAAAATAAATTACAAAAAAGTAAAAAAAAAAAACTATTAGACTGAGGGACACAAAAAAACATGAATTTGAAATAATTAATAGGATAATACATTAAATTAACCTTGTACATAACATCTACGTTTAACAACAATTTGTAAGCATATTTTTATGGAATAAGCTGCAACATGAGCTGCGAGCATGTGCGTCGACTGAAGTTGCATCCAAACAAATTATTATTTGAATATCATTGAGAAACTTTTGAACTTCTAGTTGATACTATTTTGCAATGTTAAGTGTCTCAGATAGTTTTAGGAGAATCTAAACTATACTATGAGGCAAGGGCTGTCATGGGGCAGGGTGAAGGGGGTAGTGACCCTTTCGGGTTTATTTGACAAAATAAGTTCCGGGTTGAAATGGAAATCTTGGTCTGATTTTAGAATACATTTTCGGTTTACCATGGACATAGGCACCAATTAACAGGGCAAGTTATTTGTTACAGTATCCTAACAAAAACAACAGGTTAAAACTGATATTCTGGACCCGAAACGTTGATTGCAACAAATATATGAACAGTTTTCACATCCTGTACTTTTAAACTGTCATTTTATATCCCATACAGAAAATAATTCTTTGAATAGTTTTATCTCCTGACAAGCTATTAAATATCTACAAATTAGCAGAGGCCTCTTACCAACTTGCTGGTTAAAAAAAGAATCCAGCCTGTTAAAAAGATTGTCTGAATTTTTCAAGATCTAGTTGGCAACAAATTTTAAACATTTTCTTGACACGTTAGTATTGCGACCTGTTGGAGTAATCTATTTATTATGTATCGAATTACCTAGGACATCGAGTAGACTATATACGGTCCCGTAGTACTCACATTGGTTGTTAGTTCATGGTTTGGTCGCTAGGCGATTCTTTGCTTTGCAGTGTATGAGTTGAAGATGGGCCTATGTGTTAAAAGAATCGTTGGGAATAGAATTCAGAATCACCACCAACAGTCAACAGCCCTGAAAGCCAAGTATCATGAATTCAAATCAAAATAGTACTCCAAGTAGCTGCAATGAGCTTAGCGCTGAATGCCGAGCAGGTTACTTAGGAATTGAGTCGGAATGGCACAGATCACTAGGGTACGGTACTTGAGTACTACCTCAAGTTGGAGAAGAATCAAGTATATTACTCTATAAAAGCCAAACCACTCAACTCGTATCATCACTAGCTTTTAGTATCCATTTCTACCAATCTGTTAGACCGCAAACTTAAGTTTTTTGCCAACCAGATTTGTTATCTCTCTTAATTTATAAATTAGAGTATTCCTAAAACAAATCCCTCTTTATTTTGAACCCACTTATCTAACGTTTAAATGAAAAATTAACTAAAAAATCCAAGTTTTCTCAATGTTTCCTATAATATTACATTCTTGAGAAAGCCACCAGAGTAGTTAGGTTTAAATACCATCATTTAAACTGCTCTTTATGCATGTGCTGCCCAAAGTTGTATGTGATCTATTATTAGGACTAATTTAAAATGTAAAGAGGATAAATCTTAAAATCCGACTCACATTGGCTTTTGTTGTCTGTAACACTTATGTCCAGAGAACACTTAAACACCTCCATGACTTTTTAAAACCGTGCTTTGCTTTGGAAAGATCAATCATCTGCCGCGAACCGTTAAATCCTTCAATAATAGCTTTCGGCCTAACTGAGACAATTTAAAATCCACTGACTCCTTGGAAGGTGCGTTCCACTGTCTACTTTATACTGTTATTCATTGCTGATCATATATCTACCGACCCATCCAGCTCCGACTGCGTTGGATCGTAACTGGGTATAACAGATCGGTTCCCAGTCGGTCGAGGATTCCCAGCAGACTTGTCCGACACAGTATACATGTCGGTTATGTTGGATCATGTGTGGGCTCAACAGACATGGTCTGCGTACCAGCTGTTCATTGGAGTTGTTTTGTGGACGTTAAACAGTAGGCCTGAACAGGCTTCAAAATGTGTACCGTAGTGATAACAACAGGTTTTGGAAGAGTTTATTAAACTATACAGGAATATGAAATGCTTGTAGGAGGTTTGTAGTAAACAATACAGTAACAAACACTTGAGACAAGAGAATTTGGGAAGTTTCTTAGAAAAACTCTGGGAATTTGAACCGGAAGGTACGATAATATTGTTAAGAACAATATCAATAACGTTGGGTCATATACTGATGTCAGGTAAGAGATGCGTGAACGTGAGTTACGAGGAGGGTTGTCATGTTTATGAAAAAGGAAACCATATGAAAGTTTGATCTCACTTGTGGTCATTCACTCCCAAACTCAAGTGAAAAGGCCCGATGCTGACCAAAGTTACATGAAGCTTCCGCTGTCGGAAAGCCGGTCGGATTGTGTGTGATAATAGTCTACTTGACAGACCTGGCAGACCGGACAAGTGTGCCGACATGTCAGATTGTGTATGGGGGTCTTTAGATCTCAGCAGTTTAAACCCCTAAACAGATTATTTCAAGAATACTTTGGAGCATACAAAAGCTTATTGCATTGGATGTCAGGAGGAGCGATTTAGCAGAGAAAACAAAAGTGGATAAACTAGTGCCAAGGAAAGGTTGTGATTATGAAACCGAAGGTAGCTCATATAAGAATGTAAAATGCAGTTTCCTGATTGATATTTAATTATATATTTTTATGAGGGGATAGCAAGTGCACATATGTAGGTTCTGTGTTACTTTCCCAGATTTTTGTTATTTGCCAGTAAGCTACTGTAATAGGCCTAGTAACAGTTTGGCATTGTGCATGATTACTATAGACCTACAATCATTCAGGTATCAGGTACCTAGTGGTTAAAGGAGACTCCAGACATGCGCCATTCGCCAAGCACCGAGCAGCGACTCGCCGAATCGCGAGTAGTGTGGATCCAAACATTCGTGCTCATGTTTTCCCGTTCATTGTCAGAAGCCTATTTCTGTACACATCAAAGTGAACAAATATTTGCTGGCCTATTCCAGAAAAGAAGAGTTGTTCGGAAAACAACACATGTGTGTAGACATCTACTTGTTCATCAACGAATAGCAGGACAATTAGATCGCCAAAATTAAAATATGAATACAGTATTTGGTATTCCAGAAACAAACAGTTGCTTGGAAAAAAACACATGTGTGTAGATGTCTATTCGTTAATCGGCAAATAGCAAGACAATTAGATCAAAGAACGTCAAATATTTCGTGCTTGACGATTGGCGCATATCTGGAGCCGCCGTAATGTAATGCATGCATGAAATTATATAGGCTTGGCCAACGTACTATAAAATACCGTATAATAAAATATTGTAGTTAGTAAATCTCACAAAATGTATCGCCTATTGAGGCATTGTCTAGTGATTTAAGAATGTTTCATCCATGATAGTCGTCAAGAAACATTTAAATAAATACACAACATACATAATACACGAAAAACATTTAACATTTAAAATAGGCCTACTATTAACCGGTAATCTGCCTCCCTACCGTGACCGTGGTGACTGCAAAATCTTCAGGTATAGGCTATCCAGGTCTACAAACAACAACAAAAATAATCAACAATATACCTAACCCTGGCTAGCCAGATAACTAAGTTTGAATTTTATTTAGCCTTTACACTGTACTAAACAAGTTTAAGCCCATGAGAAATAACTTAACTTCTCCTATTTTATGGATGCCACATAATTAGTTTGAAAAGTAACTTAGTCTTACCATTCAGAACGCTGATTTAGTCTCATCAAACAGAATGTTAAGTTATGTTCAACAAGATTAAGTCCGGCACATAGATTTGAAAGCCGAAGTTTAACTATTAGTTCAGCACAGCATTAAAACTTGTTCTGGATCCAGTTGCCATTTGTCATTTAACTAAATAGCCTACTGTACGGTATTGTTTTTTTACAACAAGATTCCTTCAGAAATTGACAAGACCAGAGATGAGTCAACTTGAAATACTTTTAAAATCTGTGTGTTGTTAGGCCAGTGGTTAGCGTCTTGGACTTCGGTGTAGAAGGGACGGGTTCAATTCCTGGCACATCCAAAAAACTTAAATGGATTTGGATCACATTTCGCTACAAGCGTAAGAATTTACTTAAACTTAGGCCTAATTAAAAATTGCCACTGGGGTAGACACATGCGAAGAAGAGAAATGTCACAGTCTTATAAACATGCTTAGGCCTAATAAGTTACCGTAAGGTAAGTTATCTAAAACATATATGGTAGAGTAGGCCTAAGTTTATCAATTAGCCTAATTTGTCTTTATTTTTATGTTGATGTAGACTACCTAGGCTACAGTAAGTTTGTGTCTTAATAAGCAGCAAAGTCTGCTCGATTACCATCTAATTTACTAACAGTGCCAACCTCAAACCTACTTGTCGATCTTAGCTTTGTTCATTGGCTTAAGAATTATACGGACTCCATACCTAATTTATAGTCTGTAGGCTATTATATTGCAGAGACCGAATAGTTTATTAGAAAATATAATATGACAATGCATTTGATCATTGTTTCACTAAATAAAAAGGCTATCCAGTGTGTTTCATTTCTAATCTTGGTCGAGTTTGAAATAGGACTACATTTTTACGAATACTTAGTCCAATGCCGACCAATACGTTGGGGTTGGTTTCCTCAAGAATAAATCATTTATCACCAATTTAATTTATTAGTGGGCCCTGAGTATTATGAGTTTGCTACCTATTCAAAAGGGGGTCAAGCAGAAGGTAAACCTGTTATCTACAGGAAAAGTATCACAATATGTTGTGGCAAAGGCAGTCTTCAATCGAGTTCACTTATTTCATAAACTACAGTATCAATCAAGACTGTAGTAAGCATCGAAACTTTAAAATAATTACGTGAACATTATCGTCAAAAGAAATACAAGGCTTGGCTACAAAATGTAATTTAGCTTTGTTGTTTATTTTGTCAACATAACCTCAAAACAACAGTTGATGAGTTTCTCTGCAAGTATAAAATCAAAATGGGCATTGCAATACTCACAAGGAAAGGTTCCACTCTGATATCACAGATATAGCTTTAATACACAAATTTAAAAAATCACAGCACACAACATAATTATTTTAACGACTAACAGTACTATGGCTGGTATAGTTAGCAGACAGCAAACGTAACGTACACAACAGAACAGAACACCGTTCCGGTGTTGTATAATCAGCTGTCGAGCCGGTGTCGCCAATGTCAATTGTCTAGACAAGGTCATGGCCCACTGAGTGAAAGAGTATCATATTACTTACAACCGATTTACTTATTCAATGCCACTCGGTATATCTGTTGGTTGGCCATGTACACGTGGACTTTTCCTTCAATTCATTATGTTAGCAGGGGATTGTTTGCAAACGCATTGTCATAAGATGCTTAGGCTGCGGCCACATGGGCGTTTTTTTTCACGCAAAAACGCAAAAATTTGAGTAGCATTGAAACAAATAGGCGCCCGCTACTGCGGGAAAACACACTGCGTGTGGCATACCTCATTACATTTAATGCTGCTCATATTTCTTGCGTTTTTTCACGCTGCGTTCTTGTGTGAAAAAACGCCCGTGTGGCCGTAGCCTTAATCAGGCAGTCATCTTACTTTAATAGATCCAATTCCTTCAACCCGTTTTTTTGGAAACTGCACAATTGTTGGACAGAAACCCCCGTCCTAGGAACATAACAACGAAACCGGCTTAAAAGACAACCTGTGGTCCTTGAAATCTGGGACCTATAATGTCAAATGACAAATTCTCATCCTCCCTCCAACAGTGAACTTGTCCCCGCGAACAACCGATGCAAAAATAATAAACATCACATGTAGGATCCTTCCACACGATGCCACTGGTGGCGGTATGGCAGCCACCGGTGGCCTCGTGTGAAAGGGCCCAAATGTCTATTATTGGCTACTGTATTTTATCATCAATAAATATACAGATCTAGAGTTGACTAAATTAGCTCATTGAGAATCATCAATGGCCAATGGGCAGCTGTAATGGGTAACTAGGGTTTCAGTTTCTGGTTCATGACACTTGCTTTTGATAGTGTTAACAAAAGTGTCATGTGTAAAATTGCCCAAAAAAGTTTGTTTACCTGGAAAACCCATAAATATTATGGAATTTTCAGATTACATAATTAGATCAAAAGTTTTAATTATAGCAGTATCTAATAGCCAAACTATTTGGGTGCTTACGACTTTTACAGACTTTGCTATAGACGTCCCACGCACAGGCCTCTGTAACCCATGGAGGTCGGGCAATTGCAAGTTGAAATAAACCACCAATCAACCTACAAAAAAAAACAAAAAAAAACACACACACACACAAAAACTATGATGGTACAATTGGACTGTTTTTAAACACTTCTTCTTAGCCACCTGTATCCGAGTGTACTCCGAGAATATCGTTTAGTTACAGTAGGTAGGCTGACGCAACACACGATTCAACGACCAACTAGGCATATAACTAATATTTAAAACCCTCAGTTGCAATTTCAAAACTCTTCCACGTTTACATCGAATGTACTGTAAAAATAAAGGATTTTTTTAGTGTAGAGGATTTTTGAACACTAATAATCTGTAAGTTCTGTATTCTCGTTTTATCTTAATATTATGTACATAAATTTGACTCAAATTTATACAAATCAAGATCAAGATATATTTATTTTTAGTCATTGCGACATCATTATTTACCTTCACCGCAGTAAATCCTATTAGCATATAGCACACTCAAGGTGGAAAGGGTCCGAACTTTCTACTCCTGCATCTTGTTTAAGAACACTGGCTAGGCTCTTTACATACACAATTCGTTGAAATTTATATTTAATTACAACTAAACTTACCTTAGTACCTTTCTGAAGAATAATTGACAGTGCAGGCAACCAAACTAATGTATTGTTGTGATGCAAAAACACACTGTTTTTCTTATCAAACAAACCATTATATTTATCGCACAAAGAACTCTTGACATTGACCTTGGAATTTCCCTAACGATAAATCCAATTTCCTATGATTATAAGCTGTACTTCCTTTTTAAAACCCATTGATAGCCTACTGATATGATAACCTAGGGGGGGGGGATCATGCACTGCAACCCATGAGATCATTCGACCTACATTCTCTTATTTGTATTGCTCACAGTATTCCCCACAGGATCTAGGTAACATATTTTATATCAAGAGAATTCTTTGATGTAGCTAGTCAGTAGATTTATAGTGCACACCTATGGAAGGTTCCTGGTTTGATCCATAGACAAATTAGTCCCTTACGGTGCTAAAACACACTGGGATGTTTCCAAACGATTATTTTTATTGGACATTACAGCAAACAAATCATTCTGACTATAGAAAAACTGATATAGGGAAAAGTTATTTTAAAGGCTATATTACAAAATATGTACATTTACATTTAAAATTCATATGGATTAAAATACACTCTAGATTTATTACTAGCATCTATACACAAGACAAAAACAAATGACAGAGTTAATGATTGATTATGGGCACAACATTGGAAAAATACCTTTATTCCCACTATATGACAAGCTACTTTATGTTTGTTATCGTTAAGGATAGAATAGTTAAGGATAATTGAAATATTTTCTGTCTATTAAAGATGTCTGTGATTTTATGTTTGATAACAGAGTGCGCTAAATGTCAACTGAATGGGATTCCTCTCATTTTTGTGCTAGTGTGCTAGCCCATTACAGTGTGCTAGTGCTCATTACTCCTTTGGCTATAACGCAGCACACACGCAATAGATTAGAATAAATTAATGATTGGGCTTGAAATAAATTATCTTCTTTGATGAAAAAGCTGATCTTAGTCAGTAACCAAGCTACACAGATTACACTCAATTCTACACTCATCATCCACTACTATTTAGATTAAAATATGCACATAGGTGGCGTCCCCATCTCAACAATTGATAATTGATAGTTTCGTTTGGTATATAAATATTGGTAACGCTTCAAGCAAACACGCGTCAAACAGGTTAAACACGAAAAGGCTGAGATTCTTAGTCTTCCAGACTCCTTACATAGGTCTCCCTTGTACAATGACATAACACTGTATGTTCGATATCACTTTATGATAAGCTGAAATGGCCTTCAATAACGACTTTAACGACACATTGCCTCATTGATAACGTTACACTCTACAATTTGCATTGATAAGAATATTAGGTTAGATATTGCGCTAGAAAGCAACTTTCCACGTTATAATAACGCAGAGGTGCGGAGCCACGGCCTCCAAAGTGCGTCATAGCGAAGCCTAACCACTTGGGTTGAAGACACAGAGTAAAAAATCAACATCAATTAGACATTTTTATACTATATTGCATAGAGAGCGTACTCCTACCATACCCATTGGATTAGTGAAAGGTTTCACAGATTTTCTAATACATTTTGGTCTAAAATTGGTAAAATGCAAGATTTGCAAAATGGCTTAATCATTGATTTTTATTTGCTTCTTAGAGTTTTAAGTAAAATGTATAATGTGTGTGTATTTTCACAAAGATAGTTTTAAATTTTTCCCCATTTATAGTTTTTTTTTTTTTGTTACTTTTAAATCGTTATACCTGTAAATTCTAAGTCTGTATACTATATTTTGGAACTATTTAATCCATTAATCCGGGTTATACCTCTAAGTTCACGACATTATTTATCACGCATAAAATGTGCCAATCACTGATAGGATTTAATCTAGGTAATTGCATTACCTTTTTTGTAAGCAAAACTGAATTAAATTTCATGATGAAGTTGTAGGACGCTGACTGTAACTAGGTTGGAAAATAAATATCTAAGAAAAAAGCTGACTCCATTCAGAAAAATTGAGTTTGTCCGCTCAACAATGTTTCCCACAATTGCATTTGTGGATTTCGTTTCCAACATTCAGTGGTTTAGCTTTGAAGTGAGTTTTGACAAACAAACATTTTATGTACCATTCAGAGATATGAGTTTCTTGAAGATATTTCTTGAAATCGGTGTTTTTAAATCCATTTGTTTTCAATATTTTGCCTTATTTTTACCCTTGGAAATTTTTTAAAACGTCCATCAATAGAATTTCAGTGGAATGTTATTATAATAGAATCTCACTTCAAGTCCTGTTTTTACTTTTATAAACCCACATGATTTTTTCAAGCGTTAAACAAAGAAAACTTTAACCGAAACAAAGTTTTTCTGTTTAAGCCTATGTCAGTTTGATTCCGTATCCAAACCTCGTTAAAGGGGCTTAACTTTACTGTGTAATACACACATGTGGAATCTTCTTCTCAGGATGGATAACAAATGAAATTATAATTGTTATGCACATAGACACTCAATAGAATACATTGTCTGGAACTAAACGATCAAATGAGGTTGGTAAACATATATAGCTGAGTAAAATAATCAGTAACGAAATATTACAATGGTTAGGTGTTAAACATATGTCCGAACCCAAGGCATTGGACCATTGTCTATTGGATACTGAAGTTTCATAAATATTAAAAGGTGAAACTGTATTTGTTCCAGAGTTTGATATTTCGTATTGTAATGATTAAATCAATACAAATGGTTGCTCTGAAACTCCCCTCTAACTGTAAGAGGATTGTAAAAACATAGTATTGTAAAAGTTTAACGAGAAATAAAGAGGATCATGGGATTAAACAATCAAAGTTCATAAAACAGTTTGATACGTGAACAGACATTTTCCCTTTATTGATACAACGTTTTTGATTACATTTTGTATTTTGATAAAAGAGCTACGTATATCTTACATTGTAAGATTATTGAAAACATAATTTAATCAAACTTCAATCAAAGGAATTTACAATATTAGGAAGTTCACTTATGTGTAGAAAGACACAACTGATGTCTAAGTGAATAGTTCCAGTCTTATACTGTATAGACATTTTTAAATAATTTACAAAAAACTATTGTACTAAGTCTTATTAATTTGTGAACTATATACATCTATAAACAATTAAAAAGTAAACCATAAAAAATACTGGGTTTTAAAATATTTTGTGAGAACAGAATTAGTATGGTGCAATTAGCCAAAAAAGGTCTTAACCCGGACTTCCAAAATGAAAGCACACTTTTGACTCCAGGCTGTTAAGTACATTGTGCATAAAGTTTAGTAAACGTTTACGCC